TGTGTAGAATTGAACATTTGTCTAAGGATTTATCTTGGTTTGGCTTTAGGAAGCTTGGGATGACTGTTCTATTCCTGCGGTGATGGGTAGAGCTGATATTCGGAGCCGTGACCTATTCAACTATTTGTTTGGACGATGAGGTGAGTCTCCTCACTGTGTTTGGTGGGTCGAGGGCACCAATGTCGGTCCTTGGATTATTGTTATTAGAGTTCTAGTTGTTTGTGTGACTCTTGCATGTATTGTATGTGTTTGTATGTATGCAGGGCGGGGCTGATGCCAGGCGGGGCCTGATTAGTGTGTTGGGCGGGGCCCATCGCATGTTACTGACAGATTTGTACCGGTCGGGGCCCGATGAATACCGGGGCAAGGCCCGATGTCGGGTGGGACCCGATGTATGTATGCATTTATGTATGATATGTAGTATTTTGGGGAACTCACTAAGCTTTAAGCTTACGGTTTGTATTTATGGTTTCAGGTACTTCCAGTTCAAAAGGGAAGGGTCTAGCATGACTAAACAACATCCCCCAGAGTTTATTCCGCATTGATAATATTTACTATGATGTTTAAATGATATTTTTATCTTGAATGGTTTCGAGAACAATTTGTTATATAAGTTACTACTGTAAAAATGAAAATATTACCTTGAATTTTCGGGACATTACATATGTGAATGAGATGAATTGAATATTAAGGTTCTTCATTCCCCAACAATAGATTCACATAGGATGAATTTTGGGTGGGGAAATTCGATAAAGTTGAGAAGTTATTAAAGTGATCAAAGACACATATGACTCTTTCTAAATCTAGAATGAGTGTTTCCACATAACTCTTCAATGTTTGTTTAATGAAACTGGGATGAAGAAGAAGATGATGATGTCCAAGATTTTAATCAAAGAAAAATGACCATAAGTTATATTATACATGGATTTTTAACAAGCGTTCATACCTGTTTTCAAAGCGGATTTACTATGTAGCATGGGGTAGCACCGACTACCCCTCAAATTTCCTGTCAAACGTAAATTTAGTGAAAATTCATTAAAGTCCGTCACAGATTGTGACATCCCCATTTTCACGGCCAGAAAAGACCGATTTTGTTTACGCTTTATAAAAATCAGAGTACATCTTTTAATAAAAATGTTGCGGAATTTGTTCACAGAAAAACATGATAAATACGTTATCAAAGCATTTCCGAAGAAATGTATTTTTATTCATTTTAAAACATTGGGATGTCATCGTCAATACAGAAACATAAGCATAAACATAACTTACATTCATTATCACTAGTGATTTATATCTCCTTAATCTCTCAGTGTAATGTAACTTCATATCGACACCTGTGATACAAATAAACTGAGTAGGTCAGGTTGGGAAACCTGGTGAGTACATAGGGTTTTCAACCCACAATAATATAATTATTAAGTTTGAACATCAAACAATCAATCCAATTACCCATCCTCATTATCTTCTTTACTCTTAAGGATCTACACTAAGAATTCGCTATTCCTCGTTCATTCATTCCTAAGGATCATCCTAAGGAATGGGCACGAAATCCATCGTTGTCAGGGTTTACTCTACAGGCACTAAGTCGCATAGTCGCCATGATATAGGCACTAAGTCTCATAGTCGCCAAGGTTTATACAACAGGCACTACGTCGCATAGTCGCCAGGGTTTATACAACAGACACTACGTCGCATAGTCGCCAGGGTTTAGGCACTAAGTCTCATAGTCGCCATAGTTATCTCGTTTATCGACAGTATCGTTTCCGAGAATCCACTCGCAATACATGTCAATGGGTTTTTAGAGTACAACTGGTGAATACACAGTTCAAATACACCTACAGGTTGCGAGCCTGCTAGTGTTCCACTGGACTGTCTAGAATAGTCTGTGGTTGTCATCCATACTCTGCTAGATGACGGGGCCAACACTTGGGTAAAAGGTTTTTCTCATGGTTCACCTCTCACCCTTATCTCGTGGACTATATTACCTCTCATCATTTTGTTTTTGTCACACAACAACTATTTCATCTACCCATGTTTTACCCAACACATTTTGTAGATATAAAATACATATACAGTTTAAATCATTTAAAACATGTATAAAAATCTTTCACCCAGCATAGACGGCAAGTATACAGACAATATGCATACGTAGCTTGTAATTTATATTAAATACTTCATATCTATGTGTAAGATGAATGAGACTATGCACTCACCTAGTAAGGTGGTGACTCGGTACTCGGACAGCACTTCGTTATCTTAAAACAATTTTCCTTTGACAAAACCTAGTATCAATACCACTAGAGTTTAGTCCGACGTTAACCGCGACTAATTAATAGTCTAGCTATTATTACTATTGTATAAGCGTTAAGTAACACTCTTATATAACTCATAATAATAGCCTAAATACTTATTATAAGTTCCTAATAACGTTACTATATTAAAATATAAGCTATACTAAAGATAGGGTAGGTATAGCTCACTTACAGCGGGTTTCCTTGGAAACCGGGCTCCGCCGGAGCAGAGTTTCTGAGCCGGAGGCTCTTCTTTTCGGAGCCGTCAGGCGCTCCGGGGCTTCCGCCTCGTGCTAGGGGGTTCCCTAGGCTTTTCGGGGGGGGGGGGGGGGGGGGTTTAGGGCTTAGAGAGAGAGAGAGAGAGTATAGAGAGAGAAATGAAGGGTTAAGGTGTGAGGAATGAAGGAGAGGGGCGTTTCTATTTATAGGAGGCTGGAGGAAGGTTCTCGTCGTGAATTTTTAATATTCACGTCGTGAGCCAGGGTGGAAATCAGCCGATTTTCAAAAATTCATAACTTCCGCATACGAGCTTCGTTTTCGACGTTCTTTTTTTCCACGCGTAGGTAAAAACAAGATCTACAACTTTCATTTAGACTCCGTCGGCTAGATCTCGACCGATCTTAAATTTAACAGTACGAGGAGATTAGACTGTTAAATGACCGCGAAGAATTCGTAACTCCTTCATACGGACTCCGTTTCCGTCTGTCTTTTTACCGTTGAGTTCCTATTAATGAGATCTTCAACTCTCATTTAGGTCGCATAGGCCAAAAACCGCTCGAACTAGAATTCGAGTTTTGGGTCGTACACTGCTAAGCCGAAACTTCGAAAAATCATAACTTTCTCATACGAAGTTAGATTTGGGTGTTCTTTTTATGGACGCTCTCGGTTTAACGTATACTAAATCTTTGGTTTAGATTACTAAGGCCAAAAAGTCCTCTATTGTAAATTCACTATTTTACGTTTCCCGGTGCCGTGCCGGTTCTGTCGCGAAACTTCGACGGGTCATAACTTCTTCGTTATAACTCGGATTTCGGCGTTCTTTATATGTACGGAACCCTTGAGACATATTCTACAACTTGGTTAAGATTATTTATTAAATAATCTTTTGTCGAAAAGTCGTTTTCGACCCCTATTATCTCTAAATTGACTAGCCCGGATCTACGGGCGTTACACAGATCCGTTGAAAATCCGTCACAAAGCCGTCACAAATCCATTGTAAATCTATTACAAATTCCAATAATTGTAAATTTAGTGTAAATTCATCGGTTTATTGACGGTTTTGTAACGGAAACTTCCTTCAGAAATGCGTTTTTTCTAGTAGTGTAACCTCTAAAATATTTATGCAACCTCATGCTTTTCATGCGTTTTTTCTAGTAGTGTAACCTCTAAAATATTTATGCAACCTCATGCTTTTCTTTCTGGATCCATTACTACCTATTTTGATTCGTACATACAAGAGAGTAGTCAAATCAATCCAATTTATAATAAATCTTTATTGATTTAGTTTTTGATTTACACATTCCGACGAAAATCTTACATGTCCTACAATTGAGTTATATTTAGGTAAAATCTTGCTCGAAGTCCATTTTTTTATGTACAATGATGCTAATCAATGAAATCCAGAGTGATGGCCATCAGGGATGAGATGATATGGAATCAAATATGGACAATGATGAAAATTATAAAAGAATAAAACAAAAAAGACATAAGCAAGTAAAAAGTAATATTTTTATATATGAATAGAGGGACGAAAGTTATATATTTTTAAAACTAAATGGATGTAACCTATCAAATTTTAATTAAGAACCAAAATACGAATTTGACCGATCCACATGGACCAATACTAGATTTATTCTTTTTTATTTGTGCGTGTCATCCTTGCGTAGGAGCCATGCTAATCTTCTCTGTATCGTTCCAATTTTATCGTATCGTTCCAATTTTATCGGATGTCCCCGAAGGGACATTTATTCTTTTTTATTAACTAGATGGAATTGATGCGCCTTTGGCGCTGTGTACCCTTTTTTTCATTATTTGAAACTGTAGCAGATAAGTAACCATATCAGATCAGGACAATGATGAAAATTATAAAAGAATAAAACAAAAAAGACATAAGCAAGTAAAAAGTAATATTTTTATATATGAATAGAGGGACGAAAGTTATATATTTTTAAAACTAAATGGATGTAACCTATCAAATTTTAATTAAGAACCAAAATACGAATTTGACCGATCCACATGGACCAATACTAGATTTATTCTTTTTTATTTGTGCGTGTCATCCTTGCGTAGGAGCCATGCTAATCTTCTCTGTATCGTTCCAATTTTATCGTATCGTTCCAATTTTATCGGATGTCCCCGAAGGGACATTTATTCTTTTTTATTAACTAGATGGAATTAGATGCGCCTTTGGCGCTGTGTACCCTTTTTTTCATTATTTGAAACTGTAGCAGATAAGTAACCATATCAGATCAGGCATAATCGACAGGAAAGAGCCAAGCAAGGTCTCTACTTAGGCTTAAAATCTCTCTACCTCTCAAAGTCACCACTCCGTCCAGGTGTGGAGGTCAGAATACCATCCTAAAGATGTATTTGATGAAAGCATCAAAAATGCATTTTCATGGATATTTTATCAAACCTTAAATTTGCAACCGTCATCTGTATCTATGGCTTCTGGTGGGTGTTCTGCCAACAAATAACATCCAAGAACAACATCTGCTTTTTTTTGTTTCAACACCCTTCAACATAAACTTTACAAAAAGAAATATGGGAGATTAACAAACAAACCCCTTAAAATAACAATGACCTTCCCCTTTTTAATAGTTCAGTACTATAATAATAACAATAAACTTTAGAATACTAAAAAGATTTGTTTTAAAAAAAAAAATCTGAAACTAAAATATTGCATTGTACTTCTCAAATGGTCATATTAAGGCATCCTACTTTGATCTTAGGGAATGTAGAGGTTTATAGTTGGTTTTCTCATCATTTGGACAATTTTACCCTTCTCTTCATTTTCTGTCCCACCAGCACATCAATACAAAAAAGGTTGATCGCCATCGATTTTATCGAACGCCCTGATAACATTCAATTACAAACTATAAATAAATATTTTATTAATCATAAGTCGATATTAGATATTCTGCCAATTAAATTTTTTTCTTTTTTGAGTAAATAATTTTTTTAAGTGATAAAAGAACTTTTTTTGACTATTTGGAATACAAATAGTACACCTAGTAATTTCACATACCACATTGTCCATCCACGCCAGGGCTTCGGCTCCTAGAGTTATTGTGTCTTCTATCATACTGCTCCATCTGTTGTCAATAAACCACATATCAACGTTCATGAATTATATAACTTTTGTGAGTAAAATTACATATTAAGAGGACCATTTTCAGGTCAAATTTACAGATTGTACGTATATAACCAACTCTACAACCATGCATCTACCACATCAAATTATGTCACATGAAAAACTATTTCTGAAATGAGAAAAGGAAAACTGGAAAACGTACTATGCAGTATCTCCACTATTGATCCATGCTGGAATACTTCTGTTAAGGGATTTGCCAGTCAAGTACCTAATCATTTCACTTTCACAAAATAATTATTGGGATTTATAATTATTTTATTTTCCTTTTACCTCTTAGCAAAATCCTTGTACGCGGACTGTCCCCTAAAGCCTTCGTGCAAGCATACTGGAAAGAAAAAAAAATAATGTTAAAGATGCAAAGTTTTCTAAAAATAATCTTGGTAACCCGTCAAGAAATGTGCATTAAGAATCTAAAATATGTGATAACGTAATATATAAAACCTTGATTTTTCTGCCAAAATTCCTCTTTGTTTTCTTGTTCCTGTATCTTGAGAATGTTTGCATACGAGTCTTCAATGGTTAGTGGTAATTGCCCAAGGGGAGAATGAATAAGGTCTGTCATAAAACAAAAACACTATCAATAAGAAACAACTCAAGTTGGTCTTTTTTTTTTATTTTAGAATACCAGATAAGTTTGTGATTGCTTTACAGGACAGTGTTGTCCACGTGTAACAGGGAGCATCAACAAAAAATAATAATAATAATAAACCTTAAAAATCAAAAACACATCATTGTTAGTGGCTTATACATTGTAGTTAAAAAGAAATAAAATTTGATGTATTTATAAAATAGCTAACTAATTACCATTTTACCCTCATTCAAAAGGATTCGTTTGGAGAGAATCATGTGTAGTTGATGATTGAGTATATAGTTTAATTGTTGAAGCCTTTGCAGCACCTCTTTTTGGTTAAAAGGTTGTCAACAACACATCTCCAATCAGCACTGTCAATAATACAAAAGCAGATAATTATCAATAAATGGAGTGAATAAAAGTGTAAAGATTCAGTAAAAAAAATGAAATAAAATTACCTGAAAACCACCAATGCTTTATCTCAATTCCACATATTTACCAGGGACACAGTAACAGATCGACAAGATCATAGTGCTTGGAAATCCTTGCATTCACAGAGTACAACAGATGTAGGAAACATTAACATTTGGTTGTAACATTTCATCGAGCACTTGGTGTGCATCATCAAACTCACTTTCAAATTTCACAATAAAGAATGAAAAACAAAATCCAAATTATAATGAAATCGAACAATAGCTTCGTTAAAATCCGAAATGAAAGTCTGCTTACCTGCAAATCGCAAATCGTCTGTGGTGTAGACGTCGAACAGCTGAAAGTCACCTGAAAAAAAAAGATTAAAACTTAACAAAACAATAAGAGTTCAAAACTGGGTTTGAGAAATGGACTATCGCTTCGAATTTACTTCTTTTCTCTTTGAAGCCACAACTACGCTAACCAATTTGAAGATGACAGGTTCCATTAAGGCGATATTGGTTGAAGAACTATACGAAGCCAAAGAAGCTCTCATAGGTTGAAATATATCCTTGACAGGTAGAACTCGCAACAAACATAAGTAATGAATGGTATGATGAATTAACTTACTTTTAGCAAAGCCTTACCTTGAAGAACTTCATAATTGAACTGGGGAATCTGTAAAAATAATAGGGAAGGAATAAGGATACATAACATGATTTATCCATATCACCACCACCACCAGCGCCGAGATGAGATTCAGAAAAAGCGAACAGAAAACAAATAACCTTTATGAGAAAAATCAAACCTCTTAGTTTGTAGCCTTTCTTATACCGTCACCACCATCCACAAGAACAAATACCCCCAAACTTTATTTACGATGTCTCTCTCTCTCTCTCTCTCTCTCTCTCTCTCTCTCCGCCTCTGGGAGTCGAAGACACAAATAGATTTTTGGGAGAAGAAGACGAAAAGGGATTAAAGGGAGAAAGCTGGAAGGAGACAGAGAATTGGTGCGAAGAAGAAAGATCGAAAGACGAGTTAGAACGACACTCTGAGTGGAGGAAGAAAGATGAGGCGGTGGGATCCGGAAGAGGAAGAAAGAAATATGAAATAAGCAAAAGCGAAAGAAATGCTACTGGACGAGGAGGGCGGCAATGGCAAAAATAGAAGATAAGAAGAAGAAAAGAGATTGAGATGCGTAGAGAAGATAAACATGGAAAAAGGTATGGCGGTGTGTGCGAAACAACGAAAAATAGAAGCTCCAGTGTCCAAATAAGAAACCGAAGTGGCAAAATAAGAAAGGAGAAGAGTTTCGTGTGCAAATAAGAAAGAGAAGAAAAGTTACTGTAGCTAAGCCTTTTAGGAATTGATAGTATATATAATATAAAAATTAAGTAAAGTAAAATTAATTAATATTCTTTTTATTAAAATATATTTTTAAGTAGATAAAGTTGAATCGTTAAGTAAATTGTATATATTCGTATTTTCATTTCGTTTAAAATACAATATATTTGTAGATAGTTTAAAAAAATTATGATCTAACAAATATTATGAAGTAAAATATTTAAATTTCAGGAATCTTAAATTAGAATTACAATAAAAATACATTTATGTAGTTTTTTAAAAATATATATATTTATTTGAAGTTATGAAATTTTTATAAAGATTAATATTTAATATAATTTATATTAATAAAAATAATTTATTATTATTGTAGATATTATTCCATTCTCGGAAGGAATGAAAAAAAATTCCTCCACATTCGAATGAAAATCATCTAATGAAAAGAAATGACATTTCGTAAGGAATGTTTCGTTCCATGTTAGATAATAGATTGATTAATTGATAATCAAAAGACAATTAGATAGGAATATATAGAGAATACCAAAATCCTAATGACTTAAACCCTAAAGAGTTCATGCCTAAACTATAATAACAAACATCCCCGTAGTTTGATCGGAAGAAGACGATTAAACTGGAAAAAAAGAACAAAACATAAAAACTAGATGAAGATAGCGGCAACGGAGGTGGTAGAGCTTTGACGATGGCGACTAACATCTACTGTTCGTGTGAGAATAAGGGAAAAGAAGCGGCAGCTAGAGGCGATTTCGTTGTATAAGAACAGAAGAGCAGCGGCGACAACGGTCATGCAACTGGTGGGCAGATGAGATCAGAGAAAGGTAGCGAGAAAGAAAGAGGGCTCGAGTTGCGGCGGACGGAGACAATTCCGGCGAGAACAGCGACTACAATGTTGATAAACATCAGAAGGGGCTGAATCAGAAAAGAGATCTAAAGAAGTGGCCATCTGATGATGAGGTAGAAGTAGACGAGACAGTAGAAGAAAGCCGATGAAAAAGTTTTGGTTTGTGTCGGCGGTTGATTTATTATGTAGGCGAAGAAGATAAGAAAGAGAAAAAATATGGAACATAATGAAGGCACATCCGTCGACATAGAGAAGGTTGTCGAAGGTGGAGGGTGGTGACTGCAGGTTGTGGTCAATAGTATGGTTTTAACCTATAGATCTGATAGAATAACGAACAAAACTGAGGCTTAGGTATCGGACAAAAGATGCATAAACCGAGAGCTCTACTAGATGAAATGAAGCTCCTATACCAGACAAAAAAATGCAAAGCCTCAAGCTCGATATGGGGGGCACACTATTTGGTTGTTATGCGATACTAACAAAGATTTGCCAAACTTGAAAAAAAAATGAAAGAAAAAGAAATGAAAAAGTGTGAAAAAGAAATGAAGAAGTGTATGTTTCATGAGGAAAAAAAGGGATATCTCCAGAAAAGTCCCAATATTTTGGGCAAATTTTTAATAAAGTCCTAAATTTTATTTTTTGAATAAAAAAGACCTGACTTTTTCACATTTTGAATAGAAAAACCCAAAAAACTGGCTAATTTATTCACTTTAGCCCTTTTTGACATGTTCAGCAGGTTACGGGACCAAATTGTTAATTTTTCGAAAATAATGAGACTTTTTTTGCAGATTTCGTCAAAATTTTTATATAATGTATAAACATATTTTTTACATATCTATATATGTTTTTACGTATTTGTGTATTTTTTATGTTTTTATATGTATATATTTACGTATTTTTATGTATTTCAAATGTATAACATATTTTTTTTATTATTTATATGTATTTTTAACCATTTTACATATTTTTTATGTAATTTTATGTGTTATTTTTTATGTATTATGTATTTGTATGTATTTTTACGTATTTATGTATTTTTTTAAAGCTTTTTATATAGATGTTTATATATTTTAAATGTATAAACGTATTTTTACGTATTTATATCTATTTTTAAGTATTTTACATATTTTTTATGTATTACGTATTTATGTATTTTTTTCAAGTGTTTTATATATATGTTTTGTATATTTATGTATTTTAATGTATAGACGTATTGTTTTCGTATTTATATGTATTTTTTTAAGTATTTTACATATTTTTTTGTGTGTTTTTTATGTATTGTGTATTTATATGTATTTTTGCGTATTTATGTTTTTTTTAGTTTTCTTATATAGATGTCTATGTATTTTTATGTATATAAACTGTTTAATTGTATTATTTTTACGTGTTATATATCTTTTACGTAAAAATAATACAATCAACATTTAATATGCATAAACAGCTATATAAGAAAACTAAAAAATACATAAATACGCAAAAATATATATAAATACATAATACATAAAAAAACACATAAAAACACACAAAAAATATGTAAAATACTTAAAAAGTACATATAAATATGTAAAAAATACGTTTATACATTTAAAATACATAAATATACAAAAACATCTATATGAAAAACTTTAAAAAAAATACATAAATACGTAATACATAAAAAATATGTAAAATACTTAAAAATAGATATAAATACGTAAAAAATACGTTTATACACTTAAAATACATAATCATCTATATAAAAGGTTTTAAAAAATACATAAATACGCAAAAATATATAAAATTACATATAAATACATAATACATAAAAAATAACACATAAAAATACATAAAAAATATGTAAAATGGTTAAAAATACATATAATACGTAAAATATATACGTTTATACATTTAAAATACATAAAAATACGTAAATATATACATATAAAAACATAAAAAATATAAAAATACGTAAAAATAGATATAAATATGTAAAAAATATGTTTATACATTACATAAAAATTTTGACGAAATCTGCAAAAAAATCCCATTATTTTCGAAAAATTAACAATTTGGTCACATGACCTGCTGAACAGGTCAAAAATGGCTAAAGTGAATAAATTAGCCAGTTTCTTGGGCTTTTGTATTCAAAATGTGAAAAAGTCAGGACTTTTTTATTCAAAAAAATAAAATTTAGGACTTTATTAAAAATTTGCCCAAAATATTAGGACTTTTCCGGAGATATCCCGGAAAAAAACCAATGGTGTTGTATCATATATAGTTTGGTTTAGTTAATAATAATCAAAACTTATATTTATGTTATTAAAAACTATTAAGACTTATATATATATATATATATATATATATAGATATTATATATATATATATATATATATATATATATATAAAAGTTGGATCGAGTGATGACTAAAAAATAAGTGATGACTGCGAAGACAAATCTTTGTTGTATGATTGAAAATAAAGTGTGGAGATTTGATTTTTTTTAAGGATACTTCTACTAAATATACTAGTGACTTTGTAAAAAGAATTTTTCAAAAATAAGTTTTTGAAGTATTTATTTTTAATTTTAAAAAATATTAATTTTTTAAAAAAAATATTGAACATAATATGATTCAAAATATGATGATTCAAAATATTTATGATTAAAAAAAAACTATTGATTCAACTTATTTATGATCCTTAAATTGTTATGATCTAAAAATATTTAGACTCAAATATTTTATAATCCTTAATTATATATTTTATGATTCAAAATTAAATTGTTCAAAATATATAAAGATCCATAATTTTTTTTGAACAAAAACTATATTTAATTGAATATGTTATTGATACAACATCAAATGATTCAAAAATGATTTTGTTCAAAATACTACGATTCAAAATAGATTGATTTAAAATTTTATGAACCAAAATAAAATGATTCAAAAAAAGTATGAACGGAAAATATTATAATTCTTAATACTCTTCTGAATTAAAATTTTATAATTGTTAAACATTAAAAACTTAAACCGATATTTAGTTTAAAAAATCAAAAAAATCAAAAAATAAACAAAAAATTTCAAAAAATAAAAACAAAAATAAAGAAAAATATTAGTACCTTCAAGTAAGTAGTAAATATAAGTAAAAAAAGAAGAAAAAGAAAAAAAAATAACTTTTATCTTAAGAAACGAAAAAAATAAATAAAAATGAAAAAAAAATTAAAGACGTCAAAACCGAGCATATATCTATTTAATTTTTTTAATTTTTTAGCAAAAAAAAAACAAAAAAAAACGAAATAAAACCAAAATAAACAAAAATAAATAATAAAACTCACTTAAATAACGTTCCATGGACGTTTGTCGCACGTGATTAAATCCTTGAGTACGTATTAGTTACCACAGACATGTGTCGTATGCGAACGCACCACGACGAAGTATTTGGTTTGACGTTTGTTTCATTGACGAAATGAGTGGTGGAGAATTGTCCTCGCGGTCGTTACAAGAACCGAATTATATATATATATATATATATATATATATATATATATATTATATAAGCCTAGGTTATTCTATTAAAACTAATTATTGTGTTATTGTATGCATAAATGTGGGCCAATCATTTTACTTATTTTAAGAAAGTGATTAATACATATTATTGAATTAAAAATAATTGAAAATTACCATCCAATTTAACTAGAAGGGTATTTTAGTCAATTAATACATATTTAATAAAGGAAATTTGCATATTTTAAGGGATCATAGATTCTATTATTTTTAAAAATCCGAATTTTAATAATTATAAGGTTTTTAATTCGGACATTCTGACAGAATATGCTTATGAGTATATTCAAAATTAAAAATATTCTTGAGCCGTAAATAATAAAAAAATTCTTGAACCTATTTCTTGATCATGAATTTAAAAACTTCTTGTAGAATAACAAATTCTTGAACAATCAATTGAAGAAAAAAACAAAAAATACATTATTTCTTATAGAATACGGGTAACAATTGTTAAGAATTACATTTATTGTTAAAGA